CTAATTATTGCAGCAATAGTTACTACACAAGAAAATACTATTTTTTTTGTTCTTCGTTCTGAGGTTCAGTCAACAAAAGTCATCTCTTTTTTGTATTTCACACTTTCTGCTTAGAAACTTCAGCTTTTCACACATCTAACTCTCCTTGTAAGGAATGTATTGCATACACTACAAAACAAACTATTCTTCTCCCCAAGCCTGGGCTTGTTCTCTACTGGAAAATCAGTCACTCTACTGTCAGCTTATTGATGGTGTAAATGCTGGTTTGTGGGGACTGATGCTGAGTGAGGCATTTTGTTCGATATGGACAAAGAACACGTGTGTGATTTGGTCTGATTTGGGTGATCTGCATAACTGGCGTGGACGGGATAATCATTTGCGTTCATCTGTGTATGTGGCTGTATTTCCAAGTTTTGGTGGTGTTTGTTTTTAGGGGAAGTTATCATTTCAGCATGTTGTCATAGAGAACCTTATTGTCATGGTTTTGTTGTCCAGAGTGCCTCTAAAGAGTCCAAAATAATCCAACGGCCACCTTAATGGACTGAAATTTGTGAGTTAACTTGTGTTTTATGTTACTACAATGTGTTTCCTTCTCATGTTGGTGACATGTGGTGCCTCATGAGCGTCTAGTGAAATACCAGAAGGAGTGTAGGGCCCTGCTGGAGCTGCTCGGCGTTGTCTTGGGAAGTGGAAGAGAAAAAGAGTCTCTCTTTCACCACACTCTTGATCATTAACACAGAATCACCCACATAAACACACAACTAGACAGATTTATATGTATCTTATTTCTTCTAGAACACCTGTTCTTTTGTGGTTAAACAAGAAAGGTAGAGATGAGAAAGACAATGAACATCAATGTCAATGAGAGCTGAAGTCAATGAGTGCCTTTTCCTCCAAAAACAGCACCTCTGTTCTCAGATTATAGTACACAGAGAGCTAATTGATTGAAGTAGACAGACCAGATAAATCATATGAGGGTAAATACCAGGAAAATAAGTAAGCATTTCCAAAATAGCAGAGAAATAAATAAGGATACGCACACACACACACACACACACACCGCATATATGCATATTGCCAAAAGGACACCTGAGATTGACATGAAAACCTCAAACTTTCCACCAAATTTTAGAAACATATTTTATAATGTACTACTTCTGTCATGCTACTAAAATGTGATAGTAAGATTTGATTAAATGCATCTTAAGAAGCGTCCAAGTTAACTAATAGTGACTGTTGATCCATCTAAACTCCAAGTAACACAATGCATTATAATTACACTACCTATGACCTGGCTTGTTATTCTTTTTCTATTTAATGAGACCCTTCTAATCACTTAAAAAGCCGTATTTTAACATAAAGAGATTGTTGAGATATGAAATTAACTCAATGTTTGTCTCTGTAAATGAAAAACACTCTCAAGTTTTTTTGACATCTTGCCATGATTTCCATGAAAAAAGACAAAAAGACTTGAGCTGAGCAGTTAGGAATTCCAGCATAACAAAATTTTTCTTCACGGTTACTATACACAATAATTTGAAATGAAGTGTATTTGATGGTACACTACTATGACGTCAGGGAAACCGTAGCAGAAAGTTCCCTTCTGTGTGTGTGAATTAAAGAAAAGAACGCAGTAAGAAAACAGTCAGAAAAATGTGCAATAACACAAAGAAGACAGATGATAAATTGTTCTATTAT